GCAGCTCTATCTACAGCATATTTACATGCATGAAATGTCTCTTTCATGTTGCCTTAACTGCTGTATGTCAAGTTATTGAGGAACAAATGTGGTAAATAATGAGTGTTCAGAGTAAACAATACATGGATGTCCAGTACCTTGTTTGGGTGCCTTGACCCATTTATTTCTACTGTGTAGTTATGCTCACTTTAGAACAGCTCAGTCCATTGATCTCTGATGGGTAACTTTTTCTTTCTATAGTTTCTTCTTGTGCAAATGCTGCAAAGCTGCCTCTCTGACAGTCAATCTCACACAGCGCCTGTGTCTTACCTTAATACCTTTACTGTGATAATGCCCCTCTAGAAATAGTGTTATCATTCTTCCATCTCCTATTAAGTGAGATCACATTGTACGATGTATTACTAATATGAACTGTTTCACATGAAACACTCTGTACATACTATTCTCACCAAACTGTGATAACTGTGAATAAATTCAGTGTAAACAAATGCCATACAGTATGTTGCCACCAGCAGTGACATCATTCTCTATAACTAAGAGGAGCTCTGTGCAGAAACCAGCCTACACCTCTTAGAACAGCAACCAGAGCCTCCACCTAGCCTTTACCTGTAGCTTAAAGAGCAACAATGCTGCCTAATAGCCTACTGACAAGGAATTCTGCTTCTCCGGACAGAGAGCCAGAGTACTCGGAGAGGACCCTGCATGCTCAGGGAGAACATCGAACTCCATGCAGAAAGACTGCGGTGCAGGAATTGAACCTGGAACCTTCTTGCCCCAAGGCAGTAGTGCTACCCACTGCACCACTGAGCCGCCAGCAAAAAACAACCAAAAAATAAAACAACAACATGTTATAAAAATCTTGCAAACTGGGATCCTTACCTATATTTTTCATAAATTCCCCTAAACAGAAATTTTAATGTCCTCTAAATATGTGTCAGTTGCAAATGCACAGCTGTAGATTCTTTGAAGTTAAAGATGGAAGCTAATCTAAGTTTAGAAGATACTGTTTTTCTAACATAGATAACTTTTTTAACGGACATAATACTTTTGTCATTACTCTGCAACAGACATGCAACTTGTCCAGGGTGTACCCCGCCTTACGCCCATCAAATGCCAGAGATAGGCACCGGCCTATCATCCCTGTTGGCACTGCATAGAGTTGTGTGTAAGTTAAAGTGTGTCATGTACATACGCAGTGTTTCAGCACAATTGATGTGGCTTGATTTGAACTGTTTTGACTTTTTGACTTTGGTTTTGAACATTAGTTTTGACGTTTTTTTCTGGCAGTTAGCATGCTGGAAGTTTTACCTTTAATATTTCACTTTCATTATCTCCCTTTTGTTTAGGATTTCCTAGCAGACATGAGGGGCAGCAAATCAATTATTTTAGACATTCTTTTGCCAAATAAAGTTTTATTAAAATCTTGGATTTGCATTGTGGATTGCATTGAACATAATCCAATCTCAAAACTTTATTTGATTACATTCCAGATTCTTCAAGATAAACTTTGGTTCTAAAACATAAATTTGATGCTGTGCCATAATATAATTTCATAATTTTTTTGATTATGGTTTTCATTTCTGTTTTTTCCCCCTTCTTCTTTGTCTACAGATTAGCTTAAGCACTGCGTATGTCACCAGCCACTTCAGTGCCAATGTTGTCACAGATTAGAACTAACTTTGTTTAAATGCCCAAATTCTTTAAAATATACAGCAAAAGTATAGAAAATATTTTTCAGAAGCTATGCTCTTCTGCCTGCTGTTTTGATGTTTACCCATGGGTTTTATTAAGAAGGTTTTACCTGTTTTAGAGTCTAATTTGGTTTAAAACATGAATATATGTTTTATGGAGGCATTTGGACATCTTAAACTTTCCTATTAACAGCACCTTTATTGAAAAAGACTGTTAAATGGCTTCGTAACAATTATCAACTGCTTTGATGTCTATCAACAAGAGTACTGAGACAGCCATTATTAAGGTTTTCAGTGACATCCATATAAATCCAGATTATGGAACAATCACAGTGCTCTTAATATTTTACCTCAGTGCAGCGATTGTGTTTTTAATCAATTGATTTTATTAGAGCATCTGGTCTGTCTCTCTGATATAGCGCTTTACTGGTTTAAATCTTCCTTGAAGAACTGGGACTTTTATGTGTCAGTAGTGTCTGTCATAGAGCAGATGAATATGTGGATGCGCCATAATTTTCTTCAACTGAATGGTAACCAAACTGAAGTAATAAACTTCAGACCAAAGGAGGAGAGATTCAGAATTAGCTCACAGCTTCAGCTACTGCTGATTATGGCTGAAATCTTTGTGTGATGATGGACTCTGACCTGAACCGTCAGAGACACATAAGAGCAGTTACTACGTCAGCCTTTTATCACATGAAGAACATTTTTTGGGTTAAAGGACTAATGTCCAAGCAAGAGGTAGAAAATCTCTGTCATTTCGTCATGATCTTGGAGCTAATGTCTGGTCTGATTATTCATTTCATCTCCACCCAGTTCTCCTTTCCACTCATCTGATCCACCTGCTTCAGCTCACTATTTAACCAGCCTTCCAACCAGTCATCAGTGCCAGATTATTCAAGCCTGTGTTGATAATTCTCTAGCATACCTGTATTACTGATTGCCTCATCCTGACCTGTTCTGCCTCTGGACCTCTGAGCCTGCCTGTCCCCATTCTGATCTGTTTGCCCGATCCTAACTATTAGACTATTAGAGAAATCACTATTAGAAAAATAAATGATTAAATACTGTGTCGTACTTTTCTGAGCCTGACATTATGTATTTGTCTTTAGCAGAAAGGATCACTGCAACAATTCGTCATAAGTTGGCCTAAAAAGTCCATGATACAGCTGCAACTGATTCTCCTATTCTCATGACTCACTAGAACTAAAAATATATAACACATCAGACCAGTTCTGAATTTCCAAACTGACTATATCATCTGGTTCCATTGTCTCTGTAAAGTGCCTTGAGATGACATGTGATGTGAATTGGCATTATATAAACTGAACTGAATTGAATTACACTGCCTGTGTGTAGAATATACTTTAAAAGTTAGTATAAATCACTCAATGGACCTAAATACATAACAAATTTGTTGTCAGCGTATCAACACCAACACCACTCAGGTCGTCAATTTCAAGCCTACCTTGTACACCCAGAGCTACAACCAAACATAGAGAAACAGAATTTAATTCCTATGCACCTCCTATCTGGAATAAAATTCCAGATGACTAATAAAGTTCTGATAGTTGAAGTTCCTTTAAGTCCAAGTTAAATATTCATTTGTCTGACATGTGATTAGTTTAAGATTGAGTTGGCTCAGACCTCGTCTGCCTGGCTGTGTTTCCTGGACGGGGCCGCCTTTTACAGTTGCCTTTTTTATCTCTGCTTCTGTCTCCTTGAACCCCAGTCGGCCTCAGCAGATGGCCGCTCACACTGAGCCTGGTTCTGCTGGAGGTTTCCTCCTGTTAAAAGGGAGTTTTTCCTCTCTCAACTGTCGCTACAAGCATGCTTAGTGGATTGCACTCTTGTCAATGAGTCGATGCAATCAACTGGTTTTCCTTAGATAATAAAACTTTCAATCAATTTACCTGGATGATCTGGTGAACTGTAAAGTGCCTGGATGACATGTGTTGTAAATTTGTGCTATATAAAAAAACTGAATTGAATTGAAGATTGTGCATTCGATCTTTTACCTATTAATCTCATTAGCTTTAATTGCTTTCTTCTGCTTTTATTACCCTTCTAATATACTGCTTAATACATGTAAAGCACTTCGAATTGTCTTTGTACGGAATTGTGTTATATAAAAACTTGAATGGCCTTACTTTACCTTCTCTGAGCCCTGACCCAAATCCAGTTGTCCATCCAACTAGAGCCGTTTACCAATGAGGAGTGGGCCAAAACACCTGCTGAGAGGTGTAGGGGTCTCATTGACAGCTACAGGAATCATTTGCAATAAGGTTGTGCAATAAAATATTCAGTTAAGGTATCATAATTTTTGTTCTGGACAGTTTCTTTTTTGTTATTGCATTCCTTTAAATTTGTAGAAGCATGGTATAAAAGGGATGTGTGCCTTTATTTTTTTGTTGTGTTCTTGAGTTTTTTATGTATTATTACTTTTTTCAGATTCAACTTATTTCCATGTATCTTGTGGGTTTTTCTTTCATTAGAAACCTGTATTGTTGAGACTTGAGATGCAAGCTTGGTATTTTGTGTTGAGGAGAAAAGTGGGGTTAGACTTATTAAGAATTGTCATGACCATGGTCATATTCCTTAACCTGACTCCGCCAGATGGATTTGCTCCGCATATCCATCTGGAAACCTTCCGTTGAAGTAATTTTGGGAAGGGGCGAAAATACTGGTTAGCTGATTGGCCAATGTTGGTGATAGACGGGCCAAATAGTCGGGAGAAGAGCAAAAACATCTTTTCCTCTGAGAAAAGCCTCCAGAGCAGTGTTTTGCTCTTATTTCAGTGAAGAAATACTCTCGATAAAACTTGCTCGATAGCCATGCTAACGCTAGTTTCATCGGCTGAAGCCGCCATATTCTTTAGACTGAACTGTCGCGCTTCTCGTTGTGTCACACCTCAACCCGCCTCAAAGCCAACGCTGATTGGACGTTCGTTTGGTGAACGGCTCCAAATTTTCTTTAACGGAGAGTCTCCAGACTGATTAGCGAGTGAAACCTTGAAAGCTCGCGAGATCAGGATGGTCTCACGAGGCTACATATTCCTAGCAGACTGCTGACTTTGGAAATTTATCTGCCATAAATGTACAAATTCTTCTTTTTAACAGCGTTCACTTTAACCGGGAGGCCAATGTTAGGACTGGTGAAAACAGGTTTTGTTTAAGTTGACAAAGGATGTATTTCTAGTCTTCAAGGACCCGGTCATGTGTGACACTGCAGCACATACATGTGGGTAAAGGGCTCTTTATCATGTTGCTTGGTCAGGGATTTAAACAATGGGGGCCCTCTGACTTTGTTGGCTATGATCAGGTATAAAAACAAGGGTTAAACAACGTAGGAGAGCAGCAGCATTAAGGAAGGGTAGCATATCACCAACAACCATGGCGATGTCTGACATGAGCAGGGGCAGGGTAAGCTCCAATTTCACACATGAAGGGCGTCATTAAAGCATACAAGTATGACTTTTCGTGTTGCAACATCTATGTCTCTTGTTTAACAGATCATCTTCTATGAGGACAAGAACTTTCAGGGTCGTTCTTATGAGAGCAGTGGTGACTGTGCCGACCTTTCCTCCTACCTAAGCAGGTGCCACTCCTTCAGGGTTGAGTATGGATTCTTTATGATCTACGACCGTCCCAACTTCATGGGAAACCAGTATTTCGTCAGAAGGGGAGAATTTGGTGACCATATGAGCATGATGGGCATGAGTGGTGGAATTAGGTCTTGCTGTCAAATCCCCCTGGTAGGTCTAAAGACAAAGCTTTGAATATACTTGTCTAGCTCTGAAATGTTACATTAATTGTTTTTTCTCCCCCCAAACAGTACAGGGGGTCCTACAGAATGAGGATCTATGAGAGGGAGAACTTCGGTGGTCAGATGTATGAGATGATGGATGACTGTGAAGACATCATGGATCGCTACCGCATGTCCGACTGCATGTCCTGCCACGTGATGGACGGTCACTGGATGATGTACGAGCAGCCCTACTTCAGAGGAAGGATGATGTACATGAGGCCTGGACAGTACAGGAGCTTCAGGGAGATGGGATATAGAGGCATGAGGTTCAGGAGCATGAGAAGGATCATGGACATGATCTAAACATGTTTAAAAAAAAAGAAACAAATAAAGCATGTGTCAATAACTAAGTATGTGTCTTTGTCCTGAAATTATTAACTGATATCAGATTATATAAAAATGAATAAGGCTGTGATACACATAAAGAAATAATTGTGATCTGATTTGGTCTGATCAGAAAGAATATTTTTTATGATTGGCGTCATTCCGATTGGCATCCATGTACACATCCATTTGGATATTTGGATTAAATAATCTCCTCTACGCATATGTGCAACACCCGCATGACATTTTTCTCTTTACTAACCTTAACTCACTGGCTGCTGGTCCTCTTTGGTGGAGGAGGCGGCTCCAAATGTAATGTGTGGATGGACATGCCATTCTGACCTCTACCGCAGTAGCAATTAGCATAAGGTACAGCTGAGCCCTAAACCGAATTAAAACGACCATAAAAAAAATAGAAACATGATGCAACGAAAGTCCATAGTGAAATGAAAAGCACATTATATGACATACATGAAGAGCCTAAGAACAGAAATGTAAGGAGCAGGCTCAAAGAGTAGTTAAAGTTGAGGATGAGCGGAAAAGCACAGATGTGGTTACAAAAAACTCAGATTCTCCAGAAAGGGTCTCTTGAAAATTAGACAGTTCCACGTATGCTTAAATTATTTAATCTGATCAACAATTTGACAAATGTATAGACACGTCATGATTCAGTGTCTATGTAAATTTTGCACATGTAAACACAGCTAGCATTTTGCCCATGGCGATATTCCTAAAGGAAAATTAACATGATTCCAGTTGAGGAAAAGTTCAAACAATTAAATCTGGTTTAATAAACACAATATCTCTCTCTTCAAAGAGTTCATTAATTATTTGCCTAATTTGTGATAATCAGATGTATTTACTTTGTTCTTACAGAAATCCTGCTGCAGCAAAATAATTATGTAGCATAAATGAGGCAACTCTGTTTAGCTATTTGAATGTTGGCATGCCCAGAAATTCTGAATGAGAAGGAATTGCACAACACAACATTAACAAACATTAATTCTACATGCTGGTGAAGGTTCTCAGTCATCCGGGTCCATTCGGAATTAAGTCTACACCACCAAAACCTCTTCTGTTTCATCTTTGTATCATTCACCTGGCCCTAACTCTTAAATGTTCTTATTCTTAATTTTTAGACTTCCTATCCGATTTGGTATAAAATCAGATAAGAATTTCAACATTCATGCCAACGTAGAAGATGATCGCTTAAACGCAGCATTTAGTGCTATCTTGGACTAGATTTGCTTTGTTTAAAATGTCCACAGCCCCATGCATTCTCATCTTCATACTTTGGACCTTGTACTGACCTATGTTTTTTTTTGTCAACTCCTCAACTCATCTGATGGTTTTCTAGTAACCTTTTCATAATTTAAGCTAGTTCTCCTCCCCAAAAAGAATGTTTCACCTGAGCAGATCAGTATGAGAAAATACATGATTACAATTGAAAAATCTTGACCCTTTTTTTTTATTCCCCTTTATCTGTAACAATACTACAGAGGGCAGCCATTCAATTTATTCTCCTCCACAAATTGATGATTTTGTTGAAGCGGTACCTCCTCTCTGTACTTTGCTTTAGACTAGGAATTTCTAAAGGATGGCTGTACTTAAGGTTTTAACCTGGATGTTACATAATACAATAACAAGAATTAGCTGTGCTGTAGTAAAGAATCTTCTAAAGTCTCCAGAAATGACTTTGGGCAAGCTCACTTCATACAGTGTAGCCCCTTTTTAAAAATAAGAACTTTTTTGATAGAAAGCTAGCTCCCTGGTTTAAATTAAAGCTGAGAAATTTGAAGCATAATGCCAGTAAACTGAAGAAAAAATGTCCCCACTCTACAGGAATCCTTATTAATATACAAAAGCTGTGTATTATGTCTCATTAATAGAAGAAAATAGGAATAACCCTAGATGTCTTTTTAAAATAGCTGGCGAGCTTCCACAGAGCCAGAAGTCTGTTGAACCGTCAATTCTACCAGCTCTTAGCGGTAATCAGTTTATGGGATTCTTTATAAATAAGACTAATTCTATTAAAAATAAGATACTTGGGATAACTCTAAGTATGTTTGATTCATGCCTAGAAAGTTAAGTAACATAAGTGGTAAATATCTCAAATGTGTTTGGACTCTTTTGAGATTATTATCTTCATCTAAGCCTTAGACATCCAGTTCCAGCCAGTTTACTCATGAAAGTATTCCACCTCATTTCCTGCACCAAATTAGATTATTAGATCAATAAAGGAATATTAAACATAGGCTTTTGAAGTAGCTATAATCAAAATATCAATTAAAAAAATTAATATACAGGGGGGCAAAAAAGTACTTAGTCAGCCACCAATAGTGCAAGTTCTCCCACTCAAAAAGATGAGAGAGGCCGGTAATTTTCATCATAGATAAACCTATGAGAGACAAAATGAGAAAAAAAAATCCAGAAAATCACATTGTCTGATTTTTAAAGAATTTATTTGCAAAATATGGTGGAAATAAGTATTTGGTCAGTTACAAACAAGCAAGATTTCTGGCTCTCACAGACCTGTAACTTCTTCTGTAAGAGGCTCCTCTGTCCTCCACTCTTTACCTTCATTAATGGCACCTGTTTGAACCCGGTATCAGTATAAAAGACACCTGTCCACAACCTCAAACAGTCACACTCTAAACTCCACCATGGCCAAAACTAGAGAGCTGTCAAAGGACACCCGAAACAAAATTATAGACCTGCACCAGGCTGGGAAGTCTGAATCTGCAATAGGTAAACAGCTTGGTGTGAAGAAATCAACTGTGGGATCAATTATTAGAAAATGGAAAACATACAAGACCACTGATAATCTTCCTCGATCTGGGGCTCCACGCAAGATCTCACCCCGTGGGGTCAAAATGATCACAAGAACTGTGAGTAAAAATCCCAGAACCACACGGGGGGACCTAGTGAATGACCTGCAGAGAGCTGGGACCAAAGTAACAAAGGCTACCATCAGTAACACACTACGCCGCCAGGGACTCAAATCCTGCAGTGCCAGACGTGTCCCCCTGCTTAAGCCAGTACATGTCAAGGCCCGTCTCAAGTTTGCTAGAGAGCATTTGGATGATCCAGACGATGACTGGGAGAATATCATATGGTCAGATGAAACCAAAATAGAGCTTTTTGGTAAAAACTCTACTCGTGGTGTTTGGAGGAGAGAGAATGCTGAGTTGCATCCAAAGAACACCATACCTACAGTGAAGCATGGGGGTGGAAACATCATGCTTTGGGGCTGTTTTTCTGCTAAGGGACCAGGACGACTGATCCGTGTGAAGGAAAGAATGAATGGGGCCATGTATCGTCAAATTTTGAGTGAAAACCTCCTTCCATCAGCAAGGGCATTGAAGATGAAACGTGGCTGGGTCTTTCAGCATGACAATGATCCCAAACACATCGCCCGGGTAACGAAGGAGTGGCTTCGTAAGAAGCATTTCAAGTTCCTGGAGTGGCCTAGCCAGTCTCCAGATCTCAACCCCATAGAAAATCTTTGGAGGGAGTTGAAAGTCTGTGTTGCCCAGCGACAGCCCCAGAACATCACTGCTCTAGAGGAGATCTGCATGGAGGAATGGGCCAAAATACCAGCAACAGTGTGTGAAAACCTTGTGAAGACTTACAGAAAACGTTTGATCTCTGTCATTGCCAACAAAGGGTATATAACAAAGTATTGAGATGAACTTTTGTTATTGACCAAATTACCGGCCTCTCTCATCTTTTTGAGTGGGAGAACTTGCACTATTGGTGGCTGACTAGATACTTTTTTGCCCCACTGTATTATTATTATTATTATTAATTATATTAATTAATGCGTAGTTAACCAATACTTCCTGGGGAACACCTATCCCAGACCTATTATGGGACTACTGCCTAGTTACATGGAAATTTTTGATGTGCAGTACTTTGTTTCTGCGTTGACTGTTGTTAAAGTGCTTTATAAATAAAGTTGAGGTTGATGATGATGAAGATGATGATGAAACACATACATAAGGGTACACATAAATAGTGTAAAAGAGTCAGGTAGTACTTAAGTAATGATTAGTTCCTCAGTAAGAAGTTGTTATGGGGTATATTGGGTCTCTGTCATTGACTGCAATTATGGTAAATCCAATGAAGTAATATGTTCTTCTGAGCAAGTGACTGATGGTGGGTGTGTATGAAAAATGTCAAACATAATGGAATTATGTTGGTGATTTAGATGGTATAATGTTGGGCAGTGTAGCGACTCCCAGATCTTCAATTTTGTCAGTGGTTTGGAAAAGTAGGGTAAATCAAAGCTCTCATCTTGCAGTATATATGAAATATTTGAACTTTATACGATGTTCACACCATACGCAGCCAGAGCAGCAAAATCGCGTCTGCTGCTTCATTTTTGCTGCTTGTACCAGTTAGTTCTGACGCGCGGCTGAAGCAGCTTTGCTGCTCTGGCTGCGCGGTGCAAAAGTGTGTCTGACGCGTGTTGGGCGGAGCTACTCTATCCTTTCTCTGCCTTGCAGCTATATTTGCTGTGATCAGTGGGAATAAAGTAGTTTTAATATATTTTAAGTGAGAAAATCCACCTGAAAACTTAATCATTGCAGTCAGTTCATCCAGATTACCATCCTGCCTTCTAATATTATTTCTGTCGGAGCCGCTCAGACCCCCACATACCAGCAGAGCGCTGTCAGTAGGAATCCCATTCAACAGCAGCCTCTGTCCGGGTCGCCTCCTCGCGGTTCACCGCAGCGGCTGGTAGGTGTTTTTCATCTAAATAATCCAAACTGCAGGCACCAGGATAATAAAAGCGAACATATTCTGCTGGCAGATTTCTGCATTTTAAGTTAATTTAGGCGTTAATAAACTGTTTCAGAGGAGTGATCACAGCGCTCTGTGTCATCAGCGATGTGTCTGTCTCACGGCCAGCTCCCAGATCAGATTCTCTGATTGGTTGATGCGGCGCGTCGAGCAGCAAAAGTTCAATTTTTCCATCTCGAGCAGCAGCGCGTTTGCAGCGCGTCACACGCGTCAGATGCTT